AAGATGCGACAGCGCATCTGCAAGTGTGCGGGTCATGTTTCGCCACTTCCGCACATGCGCGTGACGTTTTGACCGTCTGCACATGCGCGAGCAGCGAAACCCAGAAGTAACGCACTCCATTACTTCCGGGTCACTGTGGAGCACAACCTGAAAGCGCTCAACCTGAAGCGTATTTATCCCGAGGTATGACTGTACAATGGTACCTCGGGTTAAGAACTTAATTCGTTCCGGAGGCCCGTTCTTAACCTGAAACTGTTCTTAACCTGAGGTACCACTTTAGCTAATGGGGCTTTCCGCTGCCGCCGCACGATTTCTGTTCTCATCCTGCAGCAAAGTTCTTAACCTGAGGTACTATTTCTGGGTTAGTGGAGTCTGTAACCTGAAGCATATGTAACCTGAAGCGTATGTAACCCGAGGTACCACTATACTTAATACAATCCAGATAGGACTATGGCACGATTAGTGAGTGATTCCCTAGATTAGATGGATGGGAGTTTGCCTGCTCTTGATGGAGTTACACTCACTCTGAAGGAGCGGGTATGTAGCTTGGCGGTACTTCTAGATCAGCGGTTCTCAACCTGTGGATCCCAGATGTTGTTGGTCTACAACTCTCATCATCCCTGAGCTCTGGCCTTGCTAGCTAGGGGTGATGGGAGTTGTAGTTCAACAACATCTGGGGACCCAGAGGTTGAGAAAGGCTGTTCTAGATCCTTTGCTGTCACTTGAGACTCAAGTGCCCTCAGTGATATCAGTTCCTTCCATCAGCTTTGCCTGGTGGCCCAGTTGTGTCCCTATCTGGACAGGAGTAGCCTAACTTCTGTTGTCTATGCTCTGGTAATCTCTAGGTTACATTACATGTTGTACATAGGCTTGCCTCTGAAGATGGTGCAGAATTTGACGGCCAGGTTGCTCACCAGGGCAAGATGGTTTGAGCATATGACACCGATCCTGGCCAAACTCCACTGACTGCCAATTAGTTTCTGGGCCCAATTCTAAATGCGGGTTTTGACCTATGAAGCCTTAAATAGCTCAGAACCACAATACCTCAAGGACCGCCTCTCTCCCTATGAGCCGACTCAGACTCTACAATAATCATCTGAGGCCCTTCTTCATCTGTCTCCTCCATGAGTGGTCCAGAGGGTGGAAACATGAGAACAGGCCTTTTTTGCAGTGGCTCCCTACTTGTGGAATGTTCTCCCCAGGGTGGTTCATCTAGTGCCTTCATGATTACGGCCTCGGCTCAGTATACCTGAAGGAGCGTCCCCACCCCCATCGTCCAGCCCGGACACTGAGGTTCAGCTCTGAGGGCCTTCTGGCGGTTCCCTCACTGCGAGAAGTGAAGTTATAGGGAATCAGGCAGAGGGCCTTCTTGGTAGTGGCACCTGCCCTGTGGAGCGCCCTCCTGTCAGATGTCAAGGAAATAAACGACTATCTGACTTTTAGAAGACATCTGAAGGCAACCCTGCTTAGGGATGTTTTTAACATTTGATTGTATTTTTAATATTCTGTTGGGAGCCACCCAGAGTGGCTGGGGAAACCCAGGCAGATGGGCAGGGAACGAACGAATGAATGAATGAATGAATGAATAGGCACCGGGGGGGGGGGATTCCTCTTCAAAAAAAGCCTTTTGCTGATCAACTGTCTATGTCCATTTAAATGTGCTTGTGAGAGAGGAGGCTATTGGTTTGTTCTTGTTTTTATTATGTACTTTGTGGTGTGAACTGCCCTGAGATTTTCAGATGAAGGGCAGTATACAAATTTAACAAATAATAATAATAACATTAAAATAGTGATGGTTCCCAAAGAACGACAAATCATGGCAGAACGTTAACTGTATTTATTTTTAGCTCCAAACAGTTGCGGATTAAAAAAAGGATAGATTGTCTAACACAGGATGCAGGGGGAGGGGGAACCCAATCAGTTGTTACTAAGAAGTTTGCCAGTTGCAACATATGGTTGAATTTATAAATGAAAATGCTGACAAACAGGTACTATTAATTCTTCAACATCAACTTCGCTGGACTGGTCATGTTGCTCGGATGCCTGATTATCGTCTTCTGAAGCAACTACTCTATTAGGTAAGGTAAAGGGGCCCCTGACCATTAGGTCCAGTCGTGGCCAACTCTGGGGTTGCGGCGCTCATCTCGCTTTATTGGCTGAGGGAACTGGTGTACGGCTTCCGGATCATGTGGCCAGCATGACTTAGCCGCTTCTGGCGAACCAGAGCAGTGCACGGAAACACCGTTTACCTTCCCGCCGGAGCGGTACCTATTTATCTACTTGCACTTTAACGTCCTTTTGAACTGCTAGGTTGGCAGGAGCAGGGACCGAGCAACAGGAGCTCACCCCGTCGCGGGGATTCAAACCGCCGACCTTCTGATCGGCAAGTCCTAGGCTCTGTGGTTTAACCCACAGAGCCACCCACATCCCAACTACTCTATTACGAACTTTAAAAATGGAAAGCATCATGCTGGTGGTCAACAAAAGAGGTGTAAAGACTTTCTCAAGGTAAATCTTTTAAAATGTAGTATAAACACTGACAACTGGGGAACCCTGGCCTACGAGTGCTCCAGTTGGAGAACAGCCTTTACCCAAGGTGTCATGGGCTTTGAAGAAGCTCAAACTCAGGATGGAAAGGAGAAACATGCTAAGAGGAAGGCACGGTTGGCAAACCCTCACCGTGATCAACTCCTGCCCAGAAACCTATGTACCCAATGTGGAAGGATGTGTGGATCCAGAATTGGCCTCCAAGGTCACTTACGGACTCACTGTGAAGACCGTGTTCATGGAAGACAATCTTACTCGGCTACGAGTGATTGCCGAAGAAGAAGAAGAAGAAGAAGAAGAAGCTTAGAACAAAACATAATGGACTCAACCCACTACCAGTATGACCTTTAAAACATACTGTATTTTTTGCTCTATAAGACTCGCTTTTTCTCTCCTAAAAAGTAAGGGGAAATGTGTGTGCGTCTTATGGAGCGAATGCAGGCTGCGCAGCTATCCCAGAAGCCAGAACAGCAAGAGGGATTGCTCCTTTCACTGCGCAGCGATCCCTCTTGCTGTTCTGGCTTCTGAGATTCAGAATATTTTTTTCTTGTTTTCCTCCTCCAAAAACTAGGTGCGTCTTGTGGTTTGGTGCGTCTTATAGAGCGAAAAATACGGTAATTTTCATTCGCTGGACAGAATCGAAAACAGATTGGCATCAGATTTCTCCTGCCTTAAGTTTGAGAAAAAGGAGCTAAAAATCTTAGCCCCATGAGTTTCCATGTTCCTCTCCTGCTTATTTCTGCCTCTCCTTCCTCTTGATTCTTCTGTGTTCAACTTCAGACTGAAAATTCTTGGCGCTATAGAACAGGGGCCCCTTGTCCTTTCCTTTGGAAAGCACTTGTTGACTGGTGGAATTACAGAAGTAACTACACAGAATTAGGCTGTGAAGATATTTCCTTTCTGGCCAAATGACAAAAGTTCCTCACCTAAAGATCTCCCTTTCCCTTAAAGGTAAGGTAAAGGTACCCCTGCCCGTACGGGCCAGTCTTGCCAGACTCTAGGGTTGTGCGCTCATCTCACTCTATAGGCCGGGAGCCAGCGCTGTCCGCAGACACTTCCGGGTCACGTGGCCAGCATGACGAAGCTGCTCTGGCGAGCCAGCGCAGCACACGGAACGCCGTTTACCTTCCCGCTGGTAAGCGGTCCCTATTTATGTACTTGCACCCGGGGGTGCTTTCGAACTACTAGGTTGGCAGGCGCTGGGACCGAATGACGGGAGCGCACCCCGTTGCGGGGATTCGAACCGCCGACTATGCGATCGGCAAGTCCTAGGCGCTGAGGTTTTACCCACAGCGCCACCCGCGTCCCTGGTCCCTTTCCCTTACCTCTTCCCTATATATCCCCGTGTCAAACAGAAGGAGCGGGAGAGAGAAATATGTTTTCCATACATCCCCATATATGTGCGCACGTTTCTATAAATAGATTTCGTTCGGGAAAGAAAAGCAATTGGGGAATGGCAATGTCATTTGCAAACACAGCTAGCAGGGGAGAACGGAGGCTCATTTCCACCCGAGGCAAAAACCCAGTTTGGCAAAAAAAAAAAGGGGGGGGCATTTGGGTACACACAAAGGCTGGGAGCCTCAATGGTGCCCTTCCGGAGGTTTCACTGGGGCAAAAAAAACCTGGCTAGCCCCCAACCCACCCTGGCTCTGAGAAAAGGGTGAACGCTCTCCGTGGCACCCCATCCTTTGTTATTTCCATCAAAGATTAAGTTTCAAAGAGATTCAAAACAAGCCAAGAATAAAAACAAACTCCTGACAAGTAACCAGGAGCCTTCTCACGGGTTTCACCCCAGCACCACCAAGAACAGCGATGCACTACCCATTTTTCCTGGGAGTAAACTCCACTGGCCTTAGTGGGGCTTACTTTTGAGTAAGACACGTGCAGGGTCGCGCCTAAACAGCAACCGGTTCGCGGTGGGGTTTGGAAGGCGACACGTAGGGGTGCCAAATTGAATCAAAATTGGGAGGGGGGCAGGGAAACCCCGCCCTGCATAATCGATTACAGGATGATGTGGACACTCAGCCTTTGAATGGCAATGCCCATCAACTTTTATGGGGGCGGCGAAGACCCTCCACGGCCCCTCGGAGTTGGCTTCCTATGCCACACACACCATTTGAAAGGCAATGCCCAGCAACTTGGGCGGGGGGGGGAGCTCATATATTTGACTGGAGAAGCTGAAGTGACCTCGGCCCCTCGGAGTTGGCTCCTATGGCAACACGTGCCTTGCCCTCTTCACGTAGTTTAGCAGCAACACGTGTCTTGCCTTCTTCCCAGTCTTTCGCCTGGCGCGCGTCAGATTTTTACGCTTTCTTGCAGGATCCTGGCGACGCAGCGCCCGGCAAAGAAGCGGCACCGAGGCAGCTGGTGGCATCCACACACACAAACACCCCAGTTTCCGCCATCCTGCCTGCACAAATCCCCTGCCCCACAGCTCGGCTGCTCGGACTTACCAGAAGTCCTCCATGGCTCTGCTTGGAGATCTCCAAACGGGAAGATGGTGGAGCACACAGGCCGCCCCCCTCCCTCTGTTTGGGAGAGAAGAGGGATGGTCTTGTCTAGCCGAGGAGCGCGCACTCCCGGGTCTGGCGCGCTACTCTCCTCTCGGCTCCTCCCGATTCATTTCCATTTTTCGCAGGGAGGGTCACGTCGGGGCAGAGGGAGGAGGAAGGGCGGGCGCGGGCATATTTGGGGCGAGACACTGCCTTCTTCTCACATGCGCTGGCAGGGCTTGTTGTTTATAAAGCGCTTCTATGCCCCGGGGGCAAAATCAGGGCGAGGCTCTCCCGGAATAAGCGAGCACAAAGCCCCCCTGGAGGCCAGAGAACGGTCGCCATCGCTCACATCGTCGGTTTCTTCTCAACCTGTTCGCCAGAATTGGAAAAGATCCCGTAGAAACAGACGTTTTCTAGGGTATGCGCCCTGCTGGTGCCTGGCTATTTTGCGCCTTCGACTAATTGCTTGCACACCACACACTCGCGTTGCTAACAGTCTTTGAATACAGTGCTTTTTTTCAAATACAAAAGAATATGTTTGGCACACAAATCGTTTTGAACGATCCTGTGAATTGTCTCAGCCTCTTAAAAGTTTTGATTTCAAGTACACCAGAACCTCACTTTGCATGCCTTTTCCTTTGCAAATTCTGTCTCAGATTCCTCGAGGCCAAGCTGGCATCTTCCACTGATATTGTTGCCAAGCCAACTGGGCTCTTTTGCAACGCTGTTGAGCCTATATTTTTACAAGTCTGAGCTTTGAGAAACTGTGTTCATTCCCCACTGTGTGTGGTTTCCCCGTAAGTGTGAGAAGGATCCTTAGAGCAACAGAAACATTGGGCACATTATCCAGGAGTTTTCTTGGTTGTGGTGGTATGAAAAGAAGTACTCCTTGTCGTGGAATAGATTTCGGAAGTGTTCAAGCTATTGCTATAATTTCACAACGCAGATTTTCAGCGTCAGTACTGTGTATCTTTCTTTCCACTGTGCATCAATGATTTCCCCAAATTCTTGAAGGCCTTATGTACATCTTCGATAGATTTTTGTTGTTGTTGATACTGTATAAATCATACAGGAAGCTAAATCAACATAATGTACAGTCATAGTCATGCTGAACAAATGACAAACATCAGGGGTGGAGTCCTGAATAACTGAGTTGTTTTTGGCTGAGTTTCAGTTTTATAGCACCTGCTACAAGTTGTGGCAGGGATGTTCCAATTACATATGTCTCCATGTGCACCCATTGTTTTGCTTCTTTACAATGAGGCCGAGGGGGAGGCTCCTTCAGTACAGTGGTACCTCGGGTTACATACGCTTCAGGTTACAGACTCCGCTAACCCAGAAACAGTGCTTCAGGTTAAGAACTTTGCTTCAGGATGAGAACAGAAATCGGGCTCCGGCGGCGCAGCGGCAGCAGGGAGGCCCCATTAGCTAAAGTGGTACCTCTGGTTTAGAACAGTTTCTGGTTAAGAACAGACCTCCAGAACGAATTAAGTTCTTAACCCGAGGTGCCACTGTATCTGCTTCCTCTTCTCCAGGGTGCCAGTAAGAGTCTCAACCTTGACCTGTTGCTCCAAGGGAGTCTTTAAGTCCTTCCAAGCTTGGTGCAGCGAGTCCATTAGAGAGCCTCAGATAGCTTCTGTTTGAGTTCCTTCAGGTCTGGTTGGGATGGTACTGCCTGCTCGCTCGCTTTGTGAGGTCGTAGTGGTTTTATTTATTTCTGCCTTCTCCTTGCTCATCGCCATTATGGCTTTCTTGACTGTGTGCTATGTCATTCGTGGGCTGAGTGTTGCTGGTTTGTTTCATATCGCGTCTCAGGTTCCCCTTTCGTTCCCCTCATGGCAGGGTGTTTTAGTGTAGTTCTCTGTTAAACGGTCATTATTTAGATTGTGTTGCTTGGTGGCTTTCTCAGTGGGGCCATTATCTGAGCCTGAAAGTCCCTGGTATATATATATACAGTGGTACCTCAGGTTACATACGCTTCAGGTTACAGACTCCGCTAACCCAGAAATAGTGCTTCAGGTTAAGAACTTTGCTTCAGGATGAGAACAGAAATTGTGCTCCAGCGGTGCGGCAGCAGCAGGAGGCCCCATTAGCTAAAGTGGTGCTTCAGGTTAAGAACAGTTTCAGGTTAAGAACGGACCTCCGGAACGAATTAAGTACTTAACCCGAGGTACCACTGTGTGTGTGTGTGTGTGTGTGTGTGTGTGTGTGTGTGTATTCAGATTGAAATTTTACAGTCACATATCCAACACACAACATAAAAACAAGATTCCATTGAATATCTTCCCTCCTCCCCTTTGTGGATCCTCTTGTTAATCATTTCCTCTTGCATCTTTCATAATAATCCAAATCTTTTATCTCTCCATTGTATCCAAAATTCACCATTAAACTACAAGTGATGTTCCAATCCTACTAACAGTTTCAACTGTTTACAATGGTCTTTAAGATGTTATAAAATTTCCCCATTCCTTATTAAAATTTAGGTCTTCCTGATTTCTGATTCTTCCGGTCATTTTAGCCATTTCGCCATAATCCATCTCCGATCAGGACTTTATCTTCTTCCCTGTTTTAGACCTTGTTAAAGGTCCCTGTGGATTCCTGTCAACATTGGGTCTAAATTTAAATGCTTGTATTGTTTGTATTTTTGGAATCTGCATATGAAACTGTTTCTAATTGTTTTTACACTTTCTGTGCTTTGTGGCTGTAACTGTTTTATTTATTTTACAATTGTGAATTTTGCTGTTGTAACCCACCCCTGGGATGTTATGGTAAAGAGCGGACAAGAAATCTAATAAACAAACAAACAAACAAACAAATTTTCATTCAAAGACTCTTCTCTGTTATTTCCAATGGCAATTCATTTTGCCCACATAATAGCACAGACAGACCAGCTGACCAGACTGAGTCAGAGGCAAAAAGTGATTTTAAAGCGTAATAGAGTATGAATTAGCCACTGGAGTTTCTGTACTCCTAAGGTGGTTACCCTGCTACCCCACAACCAGCAGAACAACCTTTCTTTTCTTCCTTTCAATAGGACAGAACAAAAAAGCAGAACACACCCAGCAGGAAGGTTTGTATAAATGTCACGGAAATGTCATCTAATGTAAAGAAGCAGCTAGAGTTACACTGGACCGGAAAAGTCAAGAGGAATGCTGGAGAGCAACACACTTGTGGTGCCTGCAGAAATAGAGTGAAGCCACTCTTTAGAAATAGACAAATTTACAACTGCGTAAGAGTGTTAAACCAGACCAGGAAGTTTGGGTTCAGCTCCCCACTATGCAAAAGGCACCCATTGTAGCCCCTGGTATGTTTTCTAGCATAGAAAGAAAATACAATGGCTATTATTATTACAGTGGTACCTCAGGTTACATACGCTTCAGGTTACAGACTCTGCTAACCCAGAAATAGTGCTTCAGGTTAAGAACTTTGCTTCAGGATGAGAACAGAAATTGTGCTCCGGTGGCGCGGCGGCAGCAGAAGGCCCCATTAGCTAAAGTGGTGCTTCAGGTTAAGAACAGACCTCCGGAACAAATTAAGTGGCTAAGAATTTAATTCATTCTGGAGGTCCGTTCTTAGCCTGAAACTGTTCTTAACCTGAAGCACCACTTTAGCTAATGGGGCCTCCTGCTGCCGCCATGCCACGATTTCGGTTCTCATCCTGAGGTAAAGTTCTTAACCCGAGGTACTATTTCTGGGTTAACAGAGTCTGAAACCTAAAGCGTCTGTAACCTGAAGTGTCTGTAACCCGAGGTACCACTATATTCTGATTTCCCCCCAGAATTGGGACTCAAGGCAGCTCACAAAAAAATTAAGCAAACATTGGCCGTCCGAGCTCCCCCCCCCACCAGAACCAAGTGGGACCATGGTCTGTCTCCTCTCTCTGTAGGAGACAGAGGCCCCACCCCAGCTCCAAAGGCCTGGCCCCAGTACGGTTTGCTTCCCCACAGGGTGCCTGCCTTGGGGGCACCTGGGGGCACCCTCTTGTGCCCTCTCAGAATCCAGTGTCATTGGCCCTGGAGAGCGTTGTTCACCCTCTGCACCCCACCCCTGGCATGCTAACATACACCCACTATGGGTGCCAAAAATCCACACTATGCCACTGCCTAAACAAACCCCAAAAATCATGGGAACTGTAGTTTAAGGGTGCTGGGAATTGTAGCCCTTTGCAGGTAAACTGTAGTTCCCATAATTATGGGAGGTGGGTCCCCATTTCCCTAGTTTATATTAATGCCTCAATGAGCAGTCAATTAAAAATGGGGGACTTGATTTAACGTACACTTGTGTTGCTGTGCCGCTTGTGTTATTTCAGGGAACACCTTGCTTTTAATTTCCAGATTGCTTTTTATTAAAAATAACGCTTTCCCTTGGTGGCCTGCTCTCTGCTTCACAAAAATCTAGGAGGGGTATTTTCTCTGCTGTTGTTGTTCCTTTGTTGTTGGTTTTGGCTATGGGCTTTACTTCTGCAGCTGGTAAATTCATTCGCATCAAGGGAGTGGCTTTGACTCTCTCAAAACCAACAGAGCAGCACAAAAGCGGGAAGCAGTCGATGTCACAGAATACTCACTGCGTGGCAAGGCCCCGGGCCCCACAGTTCCCTTAGATAATAAACACACGGGCACAAATGTTTAGGTTCATGGGATAAAATAGGTCACAATTTTATTGGTTACAGATGTGGGCAGTTTGGCTTAGGCATTGGGTGAAACTGGACCATATCCTGACTACAGCCCATCTGCAGGGAGCCTCATAAGGGTAAACCACCAGTAGGGGGAGCCCTATGATATACATCAAATTGGGGCAGCCCCAGGGTCCCCAATGGGGTCGTGCCATGGCCCTTGCCCACGCCCAGGCTTCGGACCGGATCCATAAACCCAGATCACTGCAATGCCACGTGAGCAAGATGAATAAACACCCAGCAATACAAGATAATGGGAGAGGATTTACGCCAGCAAATTATTTGTCAAAATTGTTGTTGTTTAGTCGTTTAGTCGTGTCCGACTCTTCGTGACCCCATGGACCAGAGCACGCCAGGCACTCCTGTCTTCCACTGCCTCCCGCAGTTTGGTCAAACTCATGCTGGCAGCTTCGAGAACACTGTACAACCATCTCGTCCTCTGTCGTCCCCTTCTCCTTGTGCCCTCCATCTTTCCCAACATCAGGGTCTTTTCCAGGGAGTCTTTTCTTCTCATGAGGTGGCCAAAGTATTGGAGCCTCAGCTTCAGGATCTTTCCTTCCAGTGAGCACTCAGGGCTGATTTCCTGAAGAATGGAGAGGTTTGATCTTCTTGCAGTCCATGGGACTCTCAAGAGTCTCCTCCAGCACCATAATTCCAAAGCATCAATTCTTCAGCGATCAGCCTTCTTTATGGTCCAGCTCTCACTTCCATACATCA